TGTTAACTCTTTAGTGAAAGATGGGGGATGCTCTGATGGAGGAGTTTGGAGCTGCGGCTCCGTATCTCAGGAAGTCGGACCGGGAGCGTCTGGAGGCCCAAACTCGCCCCTTTGACATGAAAAAGGAATGTTTCGTCCCGGATACTGATGAAGAGTATGTGAAAGGAAGCATTATCAGTCGGGATGGTGATAAAGTCACCTGTGAGACTGAAAAAGGGAAAGTAAGTTACAGTTATCTGTGCTGAGTAGTGCACGGCTCTCTGGAATATTTGATTCTGATTGGTCAACCTTGACATTAAAAGATATGTTATATCCAGATGACAACTAATAACACATGCTCATCTGGAAGCTTCAGTACATCATGGCTATTGAACACATTCATATTTATATGTTTATTACTCACACATTTGTTCTTGGCTGGATCTTGTGACTGAATAATAAGTATTTTAGTGCAGACTGCATACGGCTTTACATTTAATTGAAGAGCTAGTCAAATATTACAGCTCAAATCAATATTTTGTGTCTAATTGCTTCGATTAGCCATGTAATACACGGGATAATGTACATCCAGTCGGTTTTTATTGTAGTATAAGTTCCTTCAGTCTTCTGATAAACCTGTCAGGCTTTAATCCCCCTCTATCACTTAACTATCTTGGAGAAACACACAGTTTTGAGTAAAAACCGTTGAAGCATGCATATTTTTACAGACCGTCACTGTGAAGGAGTGCGATGTTCACCCTCAGAACCCGCCAAAGTTTGATAAGATTGAGGACATGGCGATGTTCACCTTCCTGCACGAGCCTGCTGTGCTGTTCAACCTCAAAGAGCGTTACGCAGCCTGGATGATCTACGTGAGTGGAGTCTTAAAACACTCTCACACTCACTTTATGATGGAGGAGCAGATCTAAAGCTGCTGTCGATCTCTTCCAGACCTACTCTGGCCTCTTCTGTGTCACTGTCAACCCCTACAAGTGGCTGCCAGTGTACAATCAGGAGGTGGTTCTGGCTTACAGAGGAAAGAAGAGGAGTGAAGCTCCTCCTCACATCTTCTCCATCTCTGACAACGCCTACCAGTACATGCTGTCAGGTGCGTCACTAGTGGTTCACAGTTGAATGACAATTAACTTAAAATTCATTGCAACTTTTATCTAGTATTGCTGTTAGTCATACAAGAAAACTGATGGAAAATTTGACCAACAGTTCAACAATATTTGTATTGCCTTTTCAGACAGAGAAAATCAGTCTATTCTTATCACGTAAGTCTGATTATGCAGATCACTTTCTATGGCTTTGATTAAAAGACAAATGTGTAGTCTTTTGACATGTTTTTTTTTTTTGCACCTGAAGTGGAGAATCTGGTGCTGGAAAGACTGTGAACACTAAGAGAGTCATTCAGTATTTTGCCAGCATTGCTGCTAGTCCTACAAAGAAGGAGACCACTGAAAAGAAGGTGAAATGAGGAAATCGAGATAATTGCATGGTTTCTGCTACACTCATTCTTCCATGGCGGGGCGCAACGCCAAAATTCATCCCGCCACAGCTACAGTACAGCTTCTCATTCAAAACATTTTACTTTTTTAATAGCAGGTAATAAAATTGCACAAAAACGTATTAAAGAGTAGATGAATTATAACAGCGCAAACATTTCTGTAACCGTAGTAGTGCTGTGCGTCATTTGTTTAACCCTTTAAGGTTACGTGCTGACTGATTGACTGACCGGCTGACAGGTGCATAATGCGCAAACACGAAAACACGACGTATAGCCGTTTCACTTTACTTTAGGATGCATTAATGCTACTTTCTAGGTCTATTAGAGACAATAATAAACATTCCTAGCAAATCTAATAAATGCTGGAGACATAGTCGTTACATAAAAACACTAAATCACACCTCAGCAGCATTTATTTGAGAGCGCACAAGAAGATCTGCGCGCTCTTGAAGCGGCTTATATTTGAGGGGGCGTGCAAGAAGTTTTGTGCACTAGAAGAGGAAATCAGCACACAAGCAGAGATTCACATGCTCATACATGTAGGTTAATACATAAATGCGTTCTCGACTTCTAATACTGCGCTCACGACATTTGTCATTAAAATAACGCCACAGATATTTGGTAGATCTGTGTAAAAAAAAAAAAAAAAGGACTGCCTCTACAGGTGGAAAAAATCCTAGAGGAAACACTGAAATGGATTAAAAAAAAAGATAGTTCTGCCATTTTGTCTGATGGCCAGTTGCTAAATGTTGTGTTTTCTAGGGTACTCTGGAGGATCAAATCATCCAGTGTAATCCTGCTCTTGAGGCCTTTGGGAATGCCAAGACCATCAGGAATGACAACTCCTCCAGATTTGTAAGTGAATACAATGAGATTCAAAATGACAAAATGGCTTTTACTTAAAAGCAAACGCTTTCATCTTCTCAAACAGGGCAAGTTCATCCGCATTCACTTTGCAGCGAATGGAAAACTGGCTTCAGCAGATATAGAAACTTGTATGAACACTCTTATTCTTAGTTCCAAATACTTAATGGATTCATGATTTAAAGCAAATGTTCTTTGTCACAGATCTCCTGGAGAAGTCTCGTGTGACTTTCCAGCTCAAGGCTGAGAGAGATTATCACATCTTCTACCAGATTCTGTCTCAGAAGAAACCAGAACTTCTGGGTGAGCAAAATCACACATCTAGTAACAAACCATCCAGCAATAAGCCTAAATGTTCTTGCATTTGTCATAAAAACTTATGTTCACCCTCTCAGAGATGCTGCTGATCACAGCAAACCCGTACGATTATGCCTTCATCTCCCAAGGAGAGACACAAGTTGCTTCAATTAATGACGCTGATGAGCTGATGGCTACAGATGTGCGTATGATGACAAATCATTTAAAACATTTAAAAAAAACTTAGTTTTTTTTCATGTTCATGCAGTATTAATCTCTACAGCTACATTTACACTCCCTTTAATAATTTTGGCATTCTTTCATATGAATGAGAGTGTATGGATGTTTCTCAGTAATGGGTTGCAGCTGGAAGGGCATCCGCTGCGTAAAACCTATGCTGGATACATTGGCGGTTCATTCCGCTGTGGTGACCCCTTATTTATATAGGGACCAAGCCGAAAAGAAAATGAGTGAATGAACAAATCTTTATTAAGCAAAAATGCATATAAAACAAAGTGTAGACCAGATTCAGATGTGCAACAGAAATTGGCCCACATTTATTGAAATATGTTCTTAGCTGTGATAAGTAAATAAGTATGTGATACTATATGTAAATATTTATAATGTCCATGATAAGAAAGTATTAGAGATGTATGACAGAAGAGTGAATGCGATGAATGAAATATAATGTCTACGCATTAGTCACTAAAGCAACAAGTAGCCTGTGATTTTATTGGTTATTTTTACTACTGGCTTTGTGAAAATGTGTAATATTCTGCATTCCAGGAAGCGTTTGATGTGCTGGGCTTCACCCAAGAGGAGAAGAACAGCATCTACAAGCTGATTGGTGCCATCATGCACTACGGCAACATGAAGTTCAAGCAGAAGCAGAGAGAGGAACAGGCCGAGGCTGATGGCACCGAGGGTCAGTATTAGGGGGAAATGTTGACAATGTTGAAGGCATTGGTTGATAAACAGATAATTACTATCCATCATTTTCTCTTATTGATGACAGATGCTGATAAATCAGCTTATCTGATGGGCCTGAACTCTGCTGACCTCCTCAAGGCTCTGTGCCACCCAAGAGTCAAAGTAGGAAATGAGTGGGTCACCAAGGGACAGAATGTCCAGCAGGTTGAAATGATCCCATTGTTGACAAAACAACCTAATATCTGTGTACTAAGACATAGTCTTATTGATTTACTGTTCATACCCCCACACAAAGGTATACTATGCTGTTGGTGCCCTTTCCAAATCTGTATATGAGAAGATGTTCCTCTGGATGGTGGTGAGAATCAACCAATCCCTGGACACCAGACAGCCTCGGCAGTACTTCATTGGTGTGCTGGACATTGCTGGCTTTGAGATCTTTGATGTAAGCTGATTAATGATATTCAAATACTCTAGTTGTGTTTGCTGTGTCATGATTCTATAATATATTTCACTTGCAGTTCAACACCTTTGAGCAGCTGTGCATCAACTTCACTAATGAGAAGTTGCAGCAGTTCTTCAACCACCACATGTTTGTGCTGGAGCAAGAGGAATACAAGAAGGAAGGGATTGAGTGGACGTTCATTGACTTCGGCATGGACTTACAGGCTTGTATTGATCTCATTGAAAAGGTGCGTGAGCAAAGTCATCTCATTTTGAAACTTAATAGCTACTTTTACATTCAGTTGGATAAGTGTCATTTTTAATCCCAGCCCATGGGTATCATGTCCATCCTTGAAGAGGAGTGCATGTTCCCTAAAGCCAGTGATGCAACCTTTAAAGCAAAGCTTTATGACAACCACTTGGGGAAATCCAACAACTTCCAGAAGCCCAGGATTGTCAAGGGTAAACCAGAGGCTCATTTCTCCCTGGTTCACTACGCTGGCACTGTTGACTACAACATCAATAACTGGCTGGTGAAGAACAAGGATCCTCTCAACGAGACTGTTGTCGGCCTGTATCAGAAGTCCACCATGAAACTGTTGTCAAACCTGTTTGCTAATTATACTGGTGCTGACTTAGGTGAGTCTTTTTATTTCAAAAAGGAACAATCCTTAAGACAAAGATTTATTGCAATATTCAAGAAATATTAAGGATGATAATGGTTTCTTTCAACAGCCATGGAGGGAGGAGGTGGGAAAACAAAGGAGAAGAAGAAAAAGGGCTCTTCTTTCCAGACAGTGTCTGCACTTCACAGGGTAAAACTAATTATTGTATTTATAGCAACAGGGAATAATATATTATGATTTGGTTTCCTAGATCACTATGCCAATCTAAAATATGAATGAGCAGAATCATGAATAATATCTGTCTATAGGAGAACTTGAATAAGCTGATGACCAACTTGAGGTCAACTCACCCTCACTTTGTGCGCTGCATCATCCCCAATGAGACTAAGACTCCTGGGGCGATGGAGAATCCTCTGGTCATGCACCAGCTGCGCTGTAACGGTGTGCTGGAGGGCATCAGAATCTGCAGAAAGGGCTTCCCCAACAGGATCCTGTATGGAGATTTCAAGCAAAGGTGAAATTCACTTATTAATACAAAAGTTACAGATGAAACTGTAAAAAAATCAACATTTGTGTTCTCTTTAAAATATAACAGATATCGCATCCTGAACCCTGCTGCCATCCCAGATGGTCAGTTCATTGACAGCAGGAAAGGAGCTGAAAAGTTATTGGGATCGTTGGATATTGACCACAACCAGTACAAGTTTGGACATACCAAGGTTTTCATGTTGTAATCACTTCTTAAAGATTACCTGATAGAGTACCTCCTATGTTTAAAAAGCCTTTACATTGTTTTCTATACATAAATGCATTGGCACACAGACAGATGCTGAATAGCGACTGATGTTAATACCTTCCTAGAAAACAATGTTTACATTTTTAAAAGATCTGGTGTGGTTAAGCATCTCTGAAATTACAATTATATGTTTTAAGGTGTTTTTCAAGGCTGGACTGTTGGGAACCCTTGAAGAAATGAGAGATGATCGTCTTGCTCTCATTATCACCAATATTCAAGCTAGATCACGAGGTCTTCTCTCAAGAATTGAATTCCAGAAGCTTGTTGACCGCAGGTAACTAAGTGACCACCTAAATCTTTCAACACAAAAAGATAAATGGTACAGAAATTGTTGTATTTTTTAGAGATGCCTTGCTGGTGATCCAGTGGAATGTGCGTGCCTTCATGGGGGTCAAGAATTGGCCTTGGATGAAGCTGTACTTCAAGATCAAACCACTGCTCAGATCTGCTGAAGCTGAGAAAGAGATGGCTAACATGAAGGAAGAATTCCTGAAGTTGAAGGAGGCTTATGCCAAATCTGAAGCCCGCAGAAAGGAGCTTGAAGAAAAGATGGTTTCCCTTCTCCAAGAGAAGAATGACCTGCAGCTTGCAGTTCAAGCTGTGAGCATATATCATGAAAGAAACTTAATAATAAAAAACATTTGGAAAATGAATACGAATAATGTTCTGTATCTGTAAACAGGAGCAAGATAATCTTTGCGATGCTGAAGAAAGATGTGAAGGTTTGATCAAGAACAAGATCCAGCTTGAGGCCAAAGCCAAAGAGCTGACGGAGAGGCTGGAGGATGAAGAGGAAATGAATGCTGAGCTGACTGCCAAGAAGAGAAAGCTGGAGGATGAATGCTCTGAACTCAAGAAAGACATTGATGATCTGGAGCTCACTCTGGCCAAAGTGGAGAAGGAGAAACATGCCACTGAGAACAAGGTTTGTTTTTCATTCTGATTTTGTTAGTAATGGTGCAGTTATGGTGTATTAAAAGTCCTTAATACAATGCCACAATTCTACAGGTTAAGAACCTGACTGAAGAGATGGCAGCTTTGGATGAGATTATTGCTAGGCTCACTAAGGAGAAGAAAGCTCTACAGGAGGCCCATCAGCAAACACTGGACGACCTCCAGAGTGAGGAAGACAAAGTCAACACACTCACCAAAGCCAAAGCCAAGCTGGAACAGCAAGTGGATGATGTGGGTAGTTTGTTGAGACTTCAATGAAAAAGTTGACATTAATCATGAAAGGAAATAAAATACAAAATATCGTCTTTCCAGCTCGAAGGTTCCCTGGAACAGGAAAAGAAGCTTCGTATGGATCTGGAAAGGGTAAAGAGGAAGCTGGAGGGAGACTTAAAGTTGACCCAAGAGAGTGTGATGGACCTGGAAAATGACAAACAACAACTGGAAGAGAGACTTAAAAAGTAGGTTACAGTGGGGTGGAAAATATTTTTTTAACTAATCACTAATTACAAATCTCTGAATCCCTGTTAATCAAATATAATCTGCAAAACAGAAAAGATTTTGAGATCAGCCAGCTCACTAGCAGGATTGAAGATGAGCAAGCAATGGCAACCCAACTCCAGAAGAAACTGAAGGAGCTGCAGGTAAAGCTCTTAACAAGAGAGACAGATAGATAACTAGGACCTCTAGCTGTAACATTGGTTTTCCTCAATATCAGGCCCGAATTGAGGAGCTTGAGGAAGAGCTGGAGGCTGAGAGAGCTGCTCGTGCCAAAGTTGAGAAACAGAGAGCCGATCTGTCCAGAGAACTGGAGGAGATCAGCGAGAGGTTGGAGGAGGCTGGTGGAGCCACGGCTGCCCAGATCGAGATGAACAAGAAACGTGAAGCTGAGTTCCAGAAACTGCGCAGAGACCTTGAAGAGGCCACTCTGCAGCATGAGGCCACAGCTTCTACCCTGAGGAAGAAACATGCCGACAGTGTGTCTGATCTGGGAGAGCAGATCGACAACCTTCAGAGAGTCAAGCAGAAGCTGGAGAAAGAGAAGAGCGAACTCAGACTGGAACTGGACGATGTGGTCTCCAACATGGAGCAGCTTGCCAAGGCCAAGGTAATGAATTATTTCTCCCATGACACTATTTAAACTGTTTTATTTCAGTTCAGCTGTTCTTAAAAATAATGTATTGTTTCATAGTTTAATAATCACTATCTTTATAATATATCCCAAGGCAAACTTAGAGAAGATTTGCAGGACCCTTGAAGACCAGATGTCAGAATATAGAACAAAATATGAAGAAGGGCAACGCAGCATCAATGATTTCACAATGCAAAAAGCAAGATTGCAAACCGAAAATGGTATGTACTCAGATAATGTATTTATGTTTTCTGTTAGACTAATTCAAGATCAAATGCTACTTTTTGTAACTTAAAGGCTTCATTTCAATTTAGGGGAGCTTACGAGACAGCTGGAAGAGAAAGACTCATTGGTCTCTCAGCTAACTAGAAGCAAGCAGTCCTACACCCAGCAGATTGAGGACCTCAAGAGACAACTTGAGGAGGAAGTCAAGGTATTGCAGCAATCAAAAATTCAACGGCATATAATACAACCAAAAGTCATGTTACGAGGTCAGTCAAGTGCCTTGCTCATGTTTTGTCACTGAGGTAGTTTACTGCCTAAGATGTTTAGTCTTACTCAACCAGAAAATTACTAGAAATGAACTTTGTTACTAGTCCTAGCCTTGGCTGTTGCTGGAATTTAGATTTATCAGAGGCTTAAAGTAGCACAGGACAGCCATCATTCACCTTAATCCCTGCACTGTCACCCAATAAGCTATAATGGTTTGAATATCCATAGGATTCAACCCCACACCCCTCAAACGGACTAGAGGCTTATGCAGCAGCATTAGGGGTTAGGGAGTTCTCCATGACCAAAAACATTAATTTTAAATAACTTATAGGCAAAGAATGCCCTGGCCCATGCAGTTCAGTCTGCTCGTCATGATTCTGACCTGCTGAGGGAGCAATATGAAGAGGAGCAGGAAGCCAAAGCTGAGCTGCAGCGTAGTCTGTCCAAGGCAAACTCTGAAGTGGCTCAGTGGAGAACCAAGTATGAAACTGATGCCATCCAGAGGACTGAGGAGCTGGAGGATGCCAAGTAAGAAACTGAAAATATGTGGTTTCCTTTATAGCATATCACACAAATATCCACATTTTGAAAAGCCTCACAGACTTGTTTTGGAAATGTTCATTTATAAAGGAAGAAGCTGGCTCAGCGTCTGCAAGATGCAGAAGAGGCTGTGGAAGCTGTTAATGCTAAATGCTCCTCTCTGGAGAAGACCAAGCACAGGCTCCAGAATGAGATTGAAGATCTTATGGTGGACGTGGAGAGATCCAATGCTGCTGCTGCTGCTCTGGACAAGAAGCAAAGAAACTTTGACAAGGTGAACAAAAAACTGAGTGTTGAATAAATTACCAATTGAGAACCATCAGCAGATATTTAAAGCTTCTTTAAATAACAAACAGGTCCTAGCTGAGTGGAAGCAGAAGTATGAGGAGTCTCAGAGTGAGCTGGAAAGCTCCCAGAAGGAAGCCAGATCTCTGAGCACTGAACTGTTCAAGCTGAAGAACTCCTATGAGGAGTCTCTGGATCATTTGGAGAGCATGAAGAGAGAAAACAAGAACCTCCAAGGTTCCTCGATTTATTAGTCATTTAAGCAATCACATATTACTGAAATGAAATATTTCTCCTGGCTTTTCATGTATTAACTATCATTACATTTCTTAACCGGTAGAGGAGATTGCTGATCTTACTGAACAAATTGGCGAGTCTGGAAAGAACATACATGAACTGGAGAAAATGCGTAAGCAGTTGGAGCAGGAAAAAGCTGAAATTCAAGCAGCTCTGGAGGAAGCTGAGGTGAATTAATTGTTACCTGTAGATGTTGTATGTATAGTTTTTTGTAGTTGTACCCCTGAAAAGAGCCAATATGCTAACAATTTAAACTTTAATTTTGTTAGGGCTCCCTGGAGCATGAAGAAGGAAAGATTCTCAGAGCCCAGTTGGAGTTCAGTCAGATCAAAGCTGACATTGAGCGTAAGCTGTCTGAGAAAGATGAAGAGATGGAGCAGGCCAAGAGGAACCAGCAGAGAATGATTGATACTCTGCAGAGCTCACTGGAATCAGAGACTCGCAGCAGGAATGAAGCTCTCAGACTGAAGAAGAAGATGGAGGGAGACCTCAATGAGATGGAGATTCAGCTCAGCCAGGCTAACAGGCAGGCATCAGAAGCCCAGAAGCAACTCAAGAGTCTTCAGGGGCATCTTAAGGTATGAAACAAGATTTAAATTGTATAAACTAAACATTTGACAAAGATCTGCTGTGCTCTCATTTGAAATCTTGTGTTTTGTAGGATGCCCAAATGCAGCTGGATGATGCCCTACGTGCTAATGATGATCTCAAAGAGAACATCGCCATTGTGGAGAGACGCAACAATCTGCTGCAGGCTGAACTGGATGAGCTGAGATCCCTGGTGGAACAGACTGAGAGAGGAAGGAAACTGGCTGAGCAGGAACTGATGGACGTCAGTGAGAGAGTTCAGCTCCTGCATTCTCAGGTATGACACACCTGTATTAGTAAACTTCTTCTACTACACATGATCATCTGCAGACTTAATGAATGTCAACACTGTCCATGTTCAGAACACCAGCCTGCTGAATCAGAAGAAGAAGCTGGAGGGAGATAATACTCAGCTTCAGACTGAGGTTGAGGAGGCAGTGCAGGAGTGCAGGAATGCTGAGGAAAAGGCCAAGAAGGCCATCACTGATGCTGCCATGATGGCAGAGGAGCTGAAGAAGGAGCAGGACACCAGTGCTCATCTGGAGCGCATGAAGAAGAACATGGAGCAGACCATCAAGGACCTGCAGCACCGTCTGGATGAAGCTGAGCAGATCGCCATGAAGGGTGGCAAGAAGCAGGTCCAGAAACTGGAAGCCAGGGTAAGTTTATGAAACTCAGACATTGATACATTTGCTTTCTAAAGATTTGATAAATGAAAAAACATGTTTGTTGTTAGGTCAGAGAGCTGGAGAATGAGGTGGAGTTGGAACAGAAAAAGGCGAGCGAGTCTGTGAAAGGAATTCGTAAATATGAGAGGCGCATCAAGGAGCTCACCTACCAGGTCACTTTTCTATTCAATGCAATACCCTAATCTTCAAACTATCCAGACCAAGAATAATCAAAGATCTTTTAACAGACTGAGGAAGACCGTAAGAATCTGGCTCGTCTTCAAGACCTGGTGGACAAACTGCAGCTGAAGGTCAAGTCCTACAAGAGAGCTGCTGAAGAGGCTGTGAGTGCTTTTCTGGCACATCCATGCACTATATATTCTATTTTGCATACTGTTTTTGTCAATAACCTTGTGTTGTTCAGGAGGAACAGGCCAATTCTAACCTGACCAAGTTCCGTAAGCTGCAGCATGAGCTGGACGAGGCAGAGGAGAGGGCTGATATTGCTGAATCTCAAGTCAACAAGCTGAGAGCCAAGAGCCGTGATACAGGATCCAAGGTAAGATATCTCAGATTAATCCTATATTTTTGTGTATTACAGCTTTAAAAATAAATGAATCAGAGGTCAATCTTTTACAGATTGGTGCAAGTGTTAAGGCTCCCGTATTTTTCAAACTAATTTGAAGAACAAACCAAAATGATGATTTGGAACAAAATCCAGCCAAAAAGTTCGTTTTGGCAGTTTGAAAGTTCAGCAAAGCATACTTTTCTGTGGAGATTGTTTTGGATCCTAAACATTACTACTAGTGCGTGATGATAACACAATATGTGGGTGTGTTCTGAAACTCTGCCTGCTTTGATGTGCAACTGATTCTTATCTCATATCTACGAAGGTCAGACAGGAGAACAACCTCCAACAAAACACAAAGTTAGCAACATAAATACACGGGAGAGTCGAGTAGCAGAGCTGATATATTATTCACAGCTCTAAACCAGGGGTATCCAATCTTGGTCCGGTAGTGCTGGTGTTCTGCAGATTTTAGCTACAAGTTGCCTCAACATACCTGCAAGGATGTTTCTAGCAAGCAAAGTAAGAGCTTGATTAGCTAGCTCAGTGTTGTGATGAATCAGAAGCCATTGGATCCATTTGCAAGCTTTATTTAACACAAACATACACTCAGGGCCGACGCGTCCATAGAGGCGACCTAGGCGGCTGCCTAGGACGGCAGTATAGAGAGGGGGCGGCATCCCCGAAACTGCCCTCACCACCTGCGCCCTCATCCGCGTCTAGGGTGGCAGAATAGAGAGAGCCGCATCCCCGAAACTACCCGCGCCCACAGTTATATCCACGTCTAGGGCGGCAGAATAGAGAGGGCGGCGTCCCCTAAACTACCCTCGCCACCTGCGCCTCGGGCGGTGTCCCCTAAACTACCCTTGCCTCAGTTATATCCGTGTCTAGGGCGGCAGAATAGAGAGGGGGTGGCGTCCCCAAAACTACCCTCGCCACCCGCGCCATCATCTGCTTCTAGGGTGGCAGAATAGAGAGAGCGGCGTCCCCGAAACTACCCTCGCCATCCGCGCCCACAGTTATATCCGCGTCTATGGAGGCAGAATAGAGAAAGGGCGGCTTCCCCTAAACTACCCTCGCCACCTTCGCCTTGGGTGGCATCCCCTAAACTACCCTCGCCTCAGTTATATCTGCGTCTAGGGCGGCAGAATAGAGAGGGCGGCGTCCCCTTAAACTACCCTTGCCACCTGTGCCTCAGGCGGCGTCCCCTAAACTACCCTCGCCTCAGTTATATCCGCGTCTAGGGCGGCAGAATAGAGAGGGTGCGGCTCCCCAAAACTACCCTCGCCACCCGCGCCCTCATCCGCGTTTAGGGTGGCAGAATAGAGAGAGCGGCGTCCCCGAAACTACCCTCGCCACCCGCGCCCACAGTTATATCCGCGTTTAGGGCGGCAGAATAGAGAGGGCGACATCCCCTAAACTACCCTCGCCACCTGTGCCTCGGGCTGCGTCCCCTAAACTACCTTCGCCTCAGTTATATCTGCGTCTAGGCGTCACCCCCGTTTTCACTTAGGTTTGAGGGCGGCATGACCGTCCTTTGCCTAGAGCGGCAGTTCAGCTTGCTACGGCCCTGCATGCACTATAGCAAGAAAGGGACAAACCAGGAATCAAATCGTAGTACAGGCACAGTTCGGGGCAGGCAGATAACGTTCTCAGTCGAAGAAGCAGGCTAGTATTCGGGGCAGGCAGATATCAATCTCAAACGGTGAAACGGGTAAGAGTTCAGAACACAGATCAATCAGCAATGCAAAGGAAAACCGCTCGGTGATGACTGCTGGGCAAATCAAGACTTCGCACTGAACAGTGGCGTGAGTGAGGTTTATATGCACTGAGTAGATGAGAGACACCTGTGCTGAAATCAGTGACAGGCAGAAGGGCTTATGGGAATTTGAGTCCGAGAGTCTGATTAGAATTCGGTCGATGGCTCCCTCTGGTGGTGCACAAGAGGATTGGCCGTGTCGGAGCTAAAGTCAGCAGGACACCGGCCCTCCAGGACTGACTCTGGACACCCCTGATCTAGCAAGAGCTTGATTAGCTGGTTCAGGTGTGTTTGTTTAGGGTTGGAGCTAAACTCTCAAGGACACGGCCATCCAAAACCAAGTTTGGACATCCCTGCTCTAAACAATGTTCAGTTTTGTGTCTGTCTGTGGCAAACAGAAAACAATGTAAAGGTGTGAGGTGTCATGCTGGTGCTTCTTGCCTTATGTGTGGAAGGCTGTTTGCCAGATGTTTAGAAAACAGTTCTTCTGTCACAGCTGCCATCATTCTGTTCAGGGATACAACACATTTACAACCCCACCCACTGTACACTCTCTCTCTCTCAAAAAAAAAAAAAAAAATGCTACACGGTGGTACAAATAATGTTCCTAGAGAAACAGTTTTGCTCTTTTGTAAAAACTGTATGTTATATGGTACAAAAAAAGACCTCTTTTGATACTGTTCTGTGCCTTTTAGGGTACAATTGAAATGAAGGCACACACTTGTTCTCATATTAAAGGTACAAAAGTGTTGAACAACTAATTTATTACAATACCAATGAAAATAAACATGACTGGAAAGGCAAAGTGATTTATGAATAACTTCCATATTAACAAGAATCCTCATTTAAAAGCATATGTTTAAAGAAACTAATAAACATTCATTATTAAGTTCAATAATACAACACAATTTGTAAAATATAAAACTATATTGTAAACTAAACATTTAAGGCATTTTAACTAAATGTAAGCATTTTTGACACTGTTAAGGTACAAAGTGTCTTGTCACTGTAGTGGTACCTTCAGGCATCAGCTTTGTACCCTTGAAGGTGTACAACAGGGGTCACCAATCTCGGTCCTGGAGGGCCGGTGTCTCTGCAGGGTTTAGCTCCAACTTGCCTCAACACACCTGCCTGGATGATTCAAGTATACCTAGCAAGACCTTGATTAGCTTGTTCAGATGTGTTTGATTAGAGTTGGAGCTAAAATCTGTATGGCTCTCCAGAAACAAGTTTGGTGACCCCTTGTGTACAATATTGTCTCTGCAGGTTTTAAAAACGAAACATACATTTTGGTTTCCCATGGTACAAATCACGTCCTTAAAGGTACAAACTGCAATGGTACACATTTGTTTCTTTGTCTTAAGGTACAATTCTGTCCCATAGAAAGGTGCTGCCCCAGTGACGGGGGTTTATGCCTTCGGTCGCACTTTACAATAAGGTTCATTAGTTAATGTTAATTAATGCATTTACTAACATGAACAAACAATGAACAATACATCTACTACTGTATTTGTTCATGTTAGTTAACGTTAGTTAATGAAAATACACTTGTTCATTGTTAGTTCATGTTAACTCATGGTGCATTAACTATTGTTAACAAGCATGTACTTGAATTTTAATAATGCATTAGTAAATGTTCAATTATGATTAATAAATGCTGTACAAGTGTTGTTCATGATTAGTTCATGTTAGTAAATGCATTAACTAATGAACCTTATTGTAAAGTGTTACCATGCCTTCTTTGGTACAACATTGTACCATTTTTTAATTGTGTAGCACAGCGCAGCTGAGGTGATTGAAAACAGTATACCATCGCTCAGCCTTTTCAAACTTCTTGTCCTTAAACAAAGAAACCAAACAGAATTTAGTTTGAAGTATACCGGGGCCTTTAGAGACTATTTCGTCTCTAGCGTCTTTACTTTTAGTGATGTTAGATGAGCTGTAAATGAATTCATGAAGAAGCACTTAAGCACTTTTCTGCTTCCTAGTGTGTAAAAAGTCAAAGTGAGTTTAATAGTTGATTTATTGTAAACTAATGCACTTTGCAAACACTTTTCTTTCCCTTTTCTCTTGCTTTCACAGAAAGGTCAGGAAGAAGAGTGAAGCTCTCGCTTGCTTCTTACTGAAAGGTAGTGATGGGAAGTTCGGATCATTTTACTGACTCGGACCTTTGAGTCTCATTCAGCGAGATGGACAAATCTTTTTCAAGTCATGTTGTTTAATTTGCCAAAATGTCATTAAAATGTTACAAGCATCTTCCAAACACATCTACAACTAGCCCAAAGGTTGATCACACTGCAATCAAGAATGCTATACGAAAGAGAAAATAATCACTCATTGTTTACCTGGGTCTTTCATCTATGATTAGCTCAGCTCTACTGGCAAGTCTACAAATTAGAGTCACTCACGCATGTGACACAAACAGCACCATTTAGGCTTAACCAAGTCTCAAACAGTAGGACCCACGATTAGTTGATCTTTCCAGCCTTTGGGTTTTTCGGACAGTCATTCCAATGTGTGCACGTACAAATGAGTGAATCATTGCCTGAGAAGACTCATCGTTCCTGAGTCACATTAAAGATTCATTTAAAATCAATGAATCATTCAAGACCGACCCATCACTATTGTTTGGTTTGATTATGTGCTTCCTTACCTGTAGTTATGTAGAATAAACTGTGCAAATGAAACCTATCTTGTGGTCTTTGGTATATTTGTTTTTTAATCTTAGGCAAGCACAATCTTATTCATAAGAGCAGTCAGTTTTTACAAGTATAAACTCTCTGTTGTAAACCACAGACATCCCATCTATAAATGTACATGTCATTCTGCAGGAGTTGCATTGTAAAACCTATTAAAATTAAGTTAAGGTAACTCAAACCATTTGAGGAAACCGATTGCAACAAACCATTTAAACAAACTAATCCTAGTGAGTACTGTGAACTTAATCCATTTGAGTAAACGAAGCAATTCGAGCACAATAAATGAAGAGAAGGCGACGTAGTGGCGCAGTAGGTAGTGTTGTCGTCTCACAGCAAGAAGGTTGCTGGGTCGCTGGTTCGAGCCTCGGCTCAGTTGGCGTTTCTGTGTGGAGTTTGCATGTTCTCCCTGCATTCGCGTGGGTTTCCTCTGGGTGCTCCGGTTTCCCACACAGTCCAAACACATGTGGTACAGGTGAATTGGGTAGGCTAAATTGTTTGTAGTGTATGAGTGTGTGTGTGGATGTTTCCCAGAGATGGGTTGCGGCTGGAAGGGCATCTGCTGCGTAAAAACGTGCTGGATAAGTTGGCGGTTCATTCCACTGTGGCAACCCCAGATTAATTAAGGGACTAAGCCGATAAGAAAATGATTGAATAAATGAAGAGAACTCAAACCAACTGACCACTGTAAAACCCAATAAGGCAACTCAAACCGTTTGAGGAAACCGATTGCAACAAACCATTTGAGTTAAAAAAAACTAATCTATATGAGTACTGTGAACTTACATTTTCACATGAGTGGAATTAACTTTCAGTCAATTTTGAGTTACCTACACCCATTCCATTTGATTAAGTTGACTGTCGTGTTTGACAGTGTGTTCATTTGTTTTTCCAATCTTAATTATAGTAAGTTTACCTTCCCAGTGTGTTTTTATGACCAGATAATATGTCATTTTAAAGTGAGTAAGTATTAGAGTGATGGATTGGAGTTGACTGTGGAAAAATAGACCGAACAGTAAGCATCCCCACCTGGTGCATATTAGATATTACAGTAGTGTAGAAGTGCTGGCAACCAACACAACTGTTTCTTGGCAAGCTTCATTTTTAAAAACTATCAGTGTGCATGCAGTAAAACATGAGCCTTGATAGGCAAAATATCATACACTGAAATGAAAAATAGATTTTAAAAGTTAACTGCACACTTTGCACCAAATTCTAGTTAATTTTTTAACCCTTTATAGCAACCAATGTCAGTGATGGCATTGGTTCCTCATCCAATAAAGTGTTAATCCTGTTCTACACTGAATATTCAGTAATACATGAGAGGTTACAGGTTTTTTACAAAAATTCAATGCATTTTGTATAAAATCGAACTGTTTATTTAGTGTTACAAATTATATAAAATTTTTAATTTTTAATCAGTAGGAAAAGTGCAATAAATCACAGAAAACAAAGCACATCAAAACCTTATAAATCTTTATAAGCATTTATCTTTATCAAATAAATATCTCTGCCTGCACTGTCCTACTTTATCAACTCTATAAAGTGGACTGTCTAATGAGGTAAAACCAGGGAATAAATGAATATATAAACTTATTCATCCATGGAGCCACCTTGCAATGATAAAATACAATCACTATAGTGACTTTATTAGGAATTGCAGAACAGAGCAGAAGTCATTAATCACTGTCGTAATATTTGATCAGAAATAGGGCTGGGCGATTGATCGAATAGTGATAGAAATCGACATTCAGAGCCTATAATCGGTCACATTGTTCCAGGATGATTTTTTAAAATACTTTCCCTACATGTCACGTGACTCTGCTCTGTTAAAGGCTGTGGCTGATTTCTACTTCTGCAGCCACATCTGATCTCTGGTCAAGTAGGATGATAGACTGAGCCTTACTTTGCGCTACATTGACGATGATTGGAAGCTGCGTTAGAGATGGCATATAAAACTTGTGAGTGAATTATGAGAGCAAAAACTTGTAATAAATAATCATTCAAGTTAAAATGTTTAATTAATCTAGATTTTGATTTTAGGCCAATTCGCCGTGCCCTAAACAGACATATTGGATAGCAAGGACCAGTTGCATAAACTTAAACAGTGTTAAGACTAACTATCAGTGAACCAAGGGCCTAACAAGTCTTGCTTTTGGCTTCAATTCAAAGTGATCAACATCTTTGTAATTATCTTCCAAGACCGTCTATAACCTTTTGAAAAAAAAAAATTGGTGACTCATTTTTTAGGACTAATCTATGCATATTTTGTGAGGTGACAGATCTTTGCTGTTTACCATGGGGTCAATCAATGCAATTTGAGAGCAAAATTATAATTTAGAGGATTTACTCCTGTATTTGATTGAAGTTGTTAGTTCTGAAACTTTACACAGGGTTCATACAAGTTTTTACTACTAAAATTCCATGACTTTTCCATGATTTTTCCAAGACTTTTTTTGACCTAATGCTTCATGCAATGTCTACATGCGTGGTAAAAGAAAAACAATGCATGTTCAAATATATTACAGCATATCGTAAAAAAAGCAACAATCCATTTAGTTTCAATGTATATTTATATCTATGTAAAATTGATTAGATAATGCTTACACTGCACAATTAATGTGAGAGAATGTGATTGGCTGAGGACAGAAAAGAAGTAACTATCCTATATTCAAGTATACAGATATCTGTTCTCCATGACTTTTCCAAAACTTTGTGGGTTTTTCTGTTTTTATAAAACGTTTCCAGGTCTGGAAAATGCCATGTCAAAATGCCATCACTTTTCCAGGTTTTCCATGACCGTATGAACCCTGATTACAGGATGCCACTATTTTACAAAGCACATAATGACATTTCTGTGAGGTGAAAAAAACACCTACCTCATATTTTAGTTTTTCAACTTATGGTGTGTTTCCACATCCTGCAATATGAAGCGTCCATCTCTGGGCTAAATGTCCTTTACACTGAAAGAAGAATGAAAAAAACATTGTTAAATGAAAAGTTCGAAAAAAGTTCAACATTTCTGCAGTAAATGTTCCTGTTGAATACTTTTTTATTATTATTATTATATTACAAAATATCTATATTTCTGCTGCCTCACCTGCTCCTGTCATCCTCCTTGTGAGACCTGCAAAACAAATGAGAGATAATTACATTTTAAACAATTAAGCAAATCAAAGCAGCTGAACTCAACAATGAAAATGAGATGAGGAGCTGCAGGCTGAGCGCTGCATGCCTAAAGCGAAGAGCGTCTGCTGGCAAACTGTAGTGTTTGAAGGTGAACAGGCCGGTGCTGGAGGTGGAGCCTAACAGATGAATAGAGGGAGGAGCTCCTCACATTTACAGAGGAACCAACCGTCCTGCAACCTTAAACCACAGTGAAATGTGCTCGAGATATATTAAGACGCATTATCATGTGAGGAGATGATGAGTGTTAGCTTGACACCTCAAGACTCTGAAGAGACCTTTGGGATTTGAGAGAAATCTAGCAGCATCTTAAACTTTCACCTTTCGTTCTTAGGGTTAACGAGCAGTGTTAACAGTTATTAGACCACTGACAGTCAGCGACAGGCCTCCTTATCCATCAATTAGGACTTTGCAGAGACATTTCCTTAATATATGCATGCTAAAAATATTGATTTTGTGATGCTTTTCTCAAATGTTATGACATTATTTGCTTTAATTCTTGTGTTCAATTCAATATCTATATTTCTGCTGCCTCACCTGCTCCTGTCATCCTCCTTGTGTGACCTCAAAATAAATGAGAGATAATTATATATTAAACAATTAAGCAAATCAAAGCAGCTGAACTCAACAATGAAAATGAGATGAAGAGCTGCAGGCTGAGCGCTGAATGACTAAAGCGAAGAGCGTCTGCTGGCAAACTGTAGTGTTTGAAGGTGAACAGGCCGGTGCTGGAGGTGGAGCCTAACAGATGAATAGAGGGAGGAGCTCCACACATTTACAGAGGAACCAACCGTCCTGCAACCTTAAACCACAGTGAAATGTGCTCGAGATATATTAAGACGCATTACCATAGTTATCATGTGAGGAGATGATGAGTGTTAGCTTGACACCTCAAGACTCTGAAGAGACCTTTGGGATTTGAGAGAAATCTAGCAGCATCTTAAACTTTTACCTTTTGTTCTTAGGGTTAACAAGCAGTTATTAGACCTCTGACAGTCAGCGACAGGCCTCCTTATCCATCAATTAGTCCCTGTAGGATGCTGCAGGGACATTTTTTAACTATATGCATGCTAAATATGCATGCTTTTCTTAAATGTTATGCCATAATTTGCTTCAATTCTTGTATTTTGCTTTGAAAATACACACCAACAATTACTATTATTGTTTTTAAGAATCACTGGACTCTTAAAATTGCTTCCTAAAGTTCATGCTTCCTAAAGAGCTAATGAATATTTTAGGCATCCATTAAAATGTGTATAATAAGAATAAATCCTAACCATTGTGTTTGAATTACTTAGTGCGCAAACAGAGCAAGAAAGCGATGACCTTTATTCTGTTTTTCACTTTTAACTCAACGCTCCCTGTTGGTTAAGAATAAACGCTTGTCTTGTGACCCGCATCGTTTTGCCTCAATTGGCCATGTAACTTAAGTAGTATGTGTACGGCTAGCAAGGGTGCCAACATGTACCACTTGACGTTTATTTATGCGCCTGGAGACCTTTACGATTGCGGCATCTGCTTTATGTGTTCTCGGTGCCCCTCATCAGTTGCTGCCATTTCGTCAGAGGCTCAGGAGGAATTTCACAGGGTTATCTTTGTACTCAAGGACAATGGGAAGGAAACAATGTGGAACAAACAAGACAGTGGTAAGAGTATGACTGACAGTCGGCTACAGGCCTCCATATGCATCAGTGCAGACCACACGCAAAGGTCACGCTGCAGTGTGCACAGTTCACTAAAGAGATGAGGATGATAGGTTTAGATATTTTATGGTAGAAATGAATAAAAATGCATCAACAGAGTAATGATATTTAATAATGAATTAAATTAGAATAATGGTAGAAAAAACTGACCAGTGCTCTCAAAAATCACAATTCATTCATTCATTTTCCCTGGACTGTCTATTCATCAGGGGTTACCACAGCAAAAGGAATCACCAACTTATCTAGCATATGTTCTACACAGTGAACGCCCTTCCAGCTGCAACTCAGTACTGGGAAACACCCATACACTCTCGCATTCATACACACACACACACACACTCTTAGACTACATCCAATTTAGTTAATTTCCCTATAATGCATGTGTTTGAACTGTGGGGGAAACCGGAGCACCTGGAGGAAACCCACGGCAACACGGTGAGAACATGCAAACTCCACACAGAGCCACCGTGCAACCCTAAACACTACACTTACACACATTACACATCTTTCCCAGTGATGGGTTGCGGCTGGAAGGGCATCCGCTGTGTAAAAATGTGCTGGATAAGTTGGCGGTTCATTCCACTGTGGCGACCCCGGACTAATAAAGGGACAAAGCCGACAAGAAAATGAATGAGTGAACATTACACATCCTGTAACCATGTTTAACAACTGTTATGAAACAATCTTCCAGCTTTTTCCCAAATAATATTCTTCTAAATATCTTATTTTTGTGTTCGGCAGAATAACGATATACACCAACATGAGGGTACAGCAAGAGCTGAGAGAATGTTCCTTTTCAGTGTGCTAATCTATCAACTTTACAACTATTAAGGCTGAGCAGATGTTCTTCAGTGGGTTTCTGCAGAGGCTTTACACTTTGGTCTTTGTCTCTGAGCTCAGCAGACATCAGAATTGTGCCGCTTCAAACATTTAGGGCCCTTTCATACACACGGCGCAATAAGGCGCAAGATGTGTTTGCTCTGACATGTTGCTATTTTCAGACCAGCGCAACACTGTTTTCCGCCACGTTATTTAAATAGCAAATCCATTTGCGCCACTTTCTGGTCTAGAAAAGAGGTGTGTTAAAGCACATTGTTGGCGCGTTGCTATTTTAAGGAACTGAAATAGTTAGTTGTGCGCCTCGCTTAAACATTGCTGAACACACACAGGATGTACAGCAATACACAAATATCTTTACAAATAAAAAAAGGAGAACAATATTAGAAAAAAATATTATTTTCTACATAAATATAACAAACGCTGAGGCTCATTCTTTATCCTCGCACTGCCGATGCTCTGTGTATCTGTTTTCTCACTATTAAAGCAGTCCGCCGCAGTGGCGCAGTAGGTAGTGCTGTGGCCTCACAGCAAGAAGGTCACTGGGTCGCTGGTTCAAGCCTCGGCTCAGTTGGTGTTTCTGTGAGGAGTTTGCATGTTCTCCCTGCGTTCGTGTGGGTTTCCTCAGGGTGCTCCGGTTTCCCTCACAGTCCAAAACACACGCGGTACAGGTGAATTGGGTAGACTAAATTGTCCGTAGTGTATGAGTGTGTTTGTGAATGTGTGGATGTTTCCCGAAGGTGGGTTGTGGCTGGAAGGGCATACGCTGTGTAAAAACGTGCTGGATAAGTTGGCGGTTCATTCCACTGTGGCGACCCCTTTTTAATACAGGGACTAAGCCGAAAAGAAAATCAATGAATGAATAAAGCAGTCCGCCACGTAAATAGCAAATTGGCCATGACACAACTGACTCTTAAAGAGCATGTGAGAGTATTCTCCAAACACAGCCAGAACTCATTAAGAGAATGAGCACAACCCTGTTAGACCATGCGCCGCAGCGCAGAGCATACGTTCTTAAAATAGAAAAAGTGAATTCAGACACGCCCTTAATGCTTTAGACTGTTCTTTCAAGAGTTCACACTTAGCTGATAAGCAATAAGCGTATTTGGCATGCTGTCCCGGGAGAGAGCCCTGAGCTCATAATATCCTCGAGCCTGGGGCTCCCTCCCGTTAAAAGGGCGAGGGGGAGTTCGAGCTCAGGTAGGTCTCGAGAAGGTCGCCGTGTGAGAAGTGTAAAATAAGGTTGTCTTAGATGATAATTTGGTTTAGTCGATTGGCTATGGTTTATGTTTTTGGACGGTGGCAGGAAACCGGGGATTCTGGGAGAAATCCACGCGAACACGGGGAGAACATGTAAACTCCGCACAGAAACAACGACCAGCCCGATAAGAGGTTGGACCAGTGGTGTTCTTGCTGTGAGGCAACAGTGCTAGCCACTGGGCCACCGTGTCGCCGTATCGGTCTCGGCTGTAAGATGGAAGATAACTAGAGTGAAAATCTCTGGATATTTGTAATGCTTCCGTAATCATCTAATAGGATTACGGAGCCAATAAGGAACCAGCCGTGTTGATCATAAGCACGTGCAAAAGATGTTCAGAGATCCGACTACTGGAAATCTGTAATCTGGGGATTCAGTAAAAAATTCAATATTGAGAAAATCAATTTTATTTAAATTAAATTACTTATTTTTTTCACCATTAAAGCTGCTGACGGTAAGTTTTTGACTCTTCTAAAGCATAAAAACACTATAATATGTTTGCAGATATTTCAGAAACATGCTAAAAACATTCTTGTCTATCTGAAAAACAATGCTAAAGTCAGATATTCTGCTTTGAACATGTGTGTTAAGTGCCAGAATGCTCTCTTTGTTTTGGTGCCTTTAACCCGCCCAATGCCAGTTTAGCCAATTAAATATCAGCACCCGGCGTGCCTTGGTGGAAAACAGCGTACTTCATTCATTCATTTAGAAAGGCTCTTAAAGCATGCACTCGTGACCGAAATGTGACCGGTGGACAGTAGCAGACTCCGAAATGAGAAGCAGATTCTGAGTTCCACATGAGATTATTAATTAGCAAATAATATAAATATTACTTTAACATATTGTGAGCAGGTTACATTGCAACCATGTGTCCTAACAACGTGCCGTTGCTTTTATATAGAACATGACTTTAATCAGCCTTTAGGGTTGATCGTCAGACTCGCCACTGTTGGTCCGCAATCCTGCGCTTGCGTTTGTTTCGATCCAGGGATGCAATACTTAGTTCAACCACTGGGTGTCAAACTCACATACTCCACCTTTAATTGGAAAGAACAGTGGAGGTTGACAGGAAAATAATGAGAGAAGAGAGAGGTGAAGAGTTGGAATAAAAACCTCGAACTCGGGTCATTGTGAGTACCACGGTGCTATACGTCGACGCACTTAATCACTAGGCTACTGGTGCCAACAAGAACAGCTTTAAGGTTAAAGTTCTTTATAATGAACATTAATTCATTTTTTTATTTACTTATAAAAGGGAATTTACAAAAGTTTTCATCCAGGATGATCTTTACTTAACATCCTAATGATTTTTTGCCTAAAATAAGAAATTATACACTTGTGACTTATACAGTGTAATTTATTCACAAACATCACTGCAACCTAAAACTCCAGGGTCACATACATTGTCAACTACCTATGATCAAGATGGCCCATGTTTTGATTTATAAAAGAATTCCTGCCTGCCAAACTGGACAAGTTCCTGTCAAAGGACTTCACGATATGCAGAGCCAGTGTGCACATCAATTAACTCAGCCTGTGACATCGGCCTGCTGTAGGAATGCAGAAATGGATGCTGGTTGCAGAGATCATACAAGCTGTTCTTCTCAATCATTTAGAAGCATTCGGCAAGAATTTCACAGGTTATCTTTGTCCTCAAGTGTGAAGGCAAAGGAACAATGTGATGAAGGCCCGCGTGAAGCGATGGCACCAGCTGGAAACTGACCTTGGCCCTCGCGGAATCAGCTGCGGCTGCTCAAGCGGATAAAAGGCATCTATGATGGACAGAGTGAAATGACACTTGGCTTGTCCTTGAGCAAGGCACAGATCAGCTGATATCAACAATGAGATGCGCTCTCAGTTTAGTCATCACCTGCTAACTGATCCAAAAGCCTATTCTCTTCTTAGTTTTGCATATTTCAATATGGTTTAATATGGTTAATGGTTTATTTATAGCCAAAATTAAATAAATAAATAAATTCCTTAATTAGCATACAGGTGATTAAACAGCATTTTGACCTTATTTGTAAAGCCTGTATTCAACCCATAAATACAATTCTGCTATCATTTACTCATGCTTCACTTGTGTAAATGATCCTATTTGATTTTATTTCTTCTGTTTAATATGAAATAAAGATATTTGATTTTAATTTGCTGCTTACTGGGACCCATTGACATCCATTGTAATTATTTTCCTACAACAGAGGTCAATGCGTGCATTTTTTAAAATATCTTCATTTGTGTTCAACAGAAATAACTAATTAAGATTTAAAACCACATGGGGGAAAGTATAGATGAGGTAATTACATATTTTGGGTGAACAAACACTTCAGGAATGAATGAGTTGAATGAAAGTGCACACATCGACAAGGTATATTGGTCTTTTTCTGGCATGAATTATACCCTACAAAATAAAGGTGCCCCAGCCTCCAGCAGACACCCAGCCCATCTAAATCCTAACCAAAGTCAGACAGTAACATGCTTCAGAAAATTCTTGCAACCATATTTAGAGGAGGCCTTACATTATAAAAAGAGGTGGAGAGTCAATGGCTTCAGAAAGGTTTTCTATTGTATCATCAAACGGTAAGCCATCAGACTGTATGATCTGGTTTATTTGACGTGTGTTAACTCTTTATTGTTAACATAATAGATATGAGACACATATTTTGATGTTAAATAATTAATTCTGTTTTGTATTTTGTGCATGACCCAGGACAGTAAAATATTGTTTGGAGAGGTGTAGCACAAAGGTAAGTGACCTTAACAACACAATGCGACATCACTTTGTAATTAATATGACATATGAATGTATTGGTCATGCATTTATTGTGGGGGTTACTTAAAAGTGATAATTCACCCAAAAATCAAATCTCATTTACTGAAAACTGCTTTGTTTTCCTTCTGTCGAACACAAAAGAAGTATGCTAGCTGATGGCACCTATTGACTTCTAGTCATTTTTTCAACAATGGAAGTCAATGGGTGCCAGCAAACAGGTGGAAAAAAAAACCTCATTAATTATTAGCATGTTGCTCACACCTGTCTTATACACCTGTCTTAAAATTTTAAACTTGAAAATGTCTTTGTGTTGAGTTTCTAAATCTGCTATCT